CTGAACGAAAGCATCTCTCGACGAATCCGATGATCTCGTGTCCTTAGACACACCCCATCATAGTTTTCCTCTGCAGCAGCATCGTGACGGAAAGTCATTCTCTCGTGAAATCGTACTAGCGAGTTACTTAGCGTCTTTACGCTCGGTGGATATTCCATGTTTTAACAAAGAGTTAGTTTAGTTATACTTCCACCGTAGCCAAGCAAGTCGAATACGACTTGGGCTTTGGAAGAAAGCGTATTCTGTTATCCCGTTGACCGCGGATCCGTTATTGAACCTAGGATCATTGTCATTAGCTTCTCGAGTATCTAATTACCACGGTTACTTGTCAAATTCTGTAATAATCGTATTTGCACTAGTCAATGTCTTCTCTATTGCATAACAACAATGTGTAATCCAAATGAAGATTCGTTTCACGCCCCTAACCCTAATCATAATGTGAACCCGACATATATATCTACGACCAATGGATGTCCGAATAGACAGGAGAATTGCAGTATACAATGTGAAATTATAAGGCAAAATAATTTGGAATTTCATTGATATGATTAATCCGTAACACATGAGATAAAAAGTGAAGCATTTATAAGTATCCATTAAAAACTATAGATATTCTTGCCGTACAAGAATTGAAAACAATTCATCGAAAACAAGATTAATTATGGGGTATTAAACGGTCGACTAATGAAGACACTTATCATTGAACACTAAGGATCAGACTTTATAAATATAGATGCCCTTCTAACTCGTAAACTAAGCTAAAGAAAGTTTGTTGCGACAATATTTGCTGAATAAAATTATTTCACTTGAATCATGCTTCCCATCCGTATAAACGAATAGCACCATGAAATGAATCTGTTTGACTTACCTGTGCATAAGCATTGAAACGGACAATGCAGTGACATGAAGACTAATTATTTTGAATGATTGAATGACAAAAAGTTTATCATGGAACACCAACGAACAATCTCCGAAAATATAAGAGTGATTCTAATTCGTAAATTAGGTTACAGAAAGTGAAGACACGAAGTGACATGAAAAGAGCCTTATGAGCCTGAATGATATGAAATGTGCCTTAATGACATGTGGATATAAATCCACGCTCCAGAGAAAACGTTCCACTTCAACATCGAGGAGGTTATAACAGATTGATACAAGAAGATTGATACAGATTGATGTCAAGAAGACATCTATACCGTTCTTGTTGGACAGCATGAGCTGCAGCATAGAGAAGAATACCTCAGGAGCGATAAAAGATAGTGACAATAAGGAATCATTCTTCAGAAAACCGCAGAAGAGTACATAAGCTTTCAAAGACCTAGGCAAGACAATGAATCGAATACTGAACATACATCGAATACACAACGATGCTTTATATGTACATTTTCGGCAGATGAACATCTACACATGCGAGAGGATAACAATATGTATAATATGTAATTGTCATATTATACAAATATATTTGGGTTTGTCGTTAATATCATTAATAAATTAATTTAAATATTATCATGATGGATCGTATTAGACGCTCCGCTACATACATGTGCCGGAGTTGCTGGTAGGCAGTGGTAAATAAACACGAGGAGTACAAAGGGTTAAATTTCGTAGTTATTTGATTTTGTAAAATTAAGAAAAAAATCCAATTTCACTTTTCCCATTTTTTAATATAAGATAAACTCAGCAAGGTTCTATGGCTGAGTTGCTTGATTTTGTAAAATTAAGAAAAAGAATCCAGCCTCGCCTTTCCTCCCCATTTTTTAATATAAAATGAACTCAGGAAGGTTCTATTACGTACAAAGCAGACTTTAATTTTCAAAAGGAGGCTACTTTTCAAGAAGTTATAACTGCTTAAAGTTCGGCAATATTTCCATAAAAATTTAACATTTCTTTGATTTTTCTACTTATATCGTATATAAGTAGCATATATACGATAAGGAATGCTAAATGGATTAATTATAATTATTTAAATAGGATTAATTAGATAAATAAGGGATTTAAATAGATCTGCTTAATTGGAGATTCGTGAAACGGTTGAAAACTTCCAGTATTTAATCAAAATTCCGGATGTCGATAAAAACCATCTTCTTGATGTTACTGTGATATATATAGACCACCATATTTTACATTAATATCGTCGTAACAATATTAGATTTTTTCGGCAATATTAGTTTTAAAAACAACATTCGACGAGATTGACTTCCTTCTTAGTAACAGTCGATGTTAATCAAACATCGATTTGTTTACAGTTCACGTTTTCGATGTTAGTGATTATCGATGTTAATTAGATGTTAGATCGTCTGTACTAATTAGAAATTCGAAACTTCTTATTCGAAAACCTTGGCTGTGTATACGTTCATATCAGTCTTGATACGTAGCAACGCTAGAAATACAAAATTTATATTTGTTTTCAAATTCCATTTAAAAAGATTTACCAAATATTGAATATTAGATACTAAATTTGTATTAAAACCTTTCTAGAAAATTAATATTTTATGATTCGTACCTTTCATATCATATTTTGACATAAAAGAACTTGCTTGAATCAAAGATGCCGAATGTTGACCTCTTCAAAACTATACAACTTATGTAATAATTTTTCACACAATACACAATTTAAAACGTATAAGATGTTCACAAATTAAATAAATGATTCTCATAATTACATATGACTGTTTCATTTACAATGAGCATGTAAATTTAAATTACTCCAACTATTATTGAAAGTAAAAAATATGAGTATGAGGAGTATATATGATTGCAAAATTAATATTCATTTGTATATTAAAAGCGGTCTTAAGTAGTAAGATATCAATGACTTTCCTATCTTTTACTAAAAGTAAAATTAATCATAATAATTAGTACCAATATTCGTTCCTCGTGTAATAACCGTTTCAATTCCCAGTATACTTAAAAATTACGATCGATAGTTAGAACTTCATACTTTATTGAAGTCTGTTGAATTAAAAGGCTTCTCATAAAAATGATAGAATTTTAGAAAATATCGTCATAAAATGAAGAAGTGGAATATGAACTGAAGAAAATTTATTCTTATTTCTACTTCACTAGACAACACTTTCGAATTTCAATCGAAACAAACATATAAATTTGCAACGCATTAAAGCGTTATATATGCAATGTAAGCAGAATCCAGAAATGACTCATTGATATCTTATTACTTAAGATTACTTCAGGTCATACTATCATAGGTCATTAAACTCGCCTTGATATCACATACAACATCGTATCATAAAAAACGCACACGTATTATTTAAAAATTATTTTTCTCATGTAACATAAAGAATAAAAAAATAGAAATTTAAATACCAAATAAAGATAAAGAAAGAAAAAGTGGAAGGGATATTATTTCAAAAAACATTATAATAAAGATTCAGGCATACCTGGATTAATATATCATAGAATTATTTGATATTTTATTGTAAACTATTATAAGTACACAACAATGCTTAAATGCAATTTTAAATATACTGCATATTAAGTATATTTTCATATACAGTATGTGGTATATATATACATACATACATACATGCATACATACATGCATACATATATATATATTACACACCATGCAGTACGTATTTGAATAATAAGAGTATACATATAATATCTGATATCAACAAACGAATTTCCATTCTATAAATATGTTGCAATTCCATTAAAGCAAAGTAAATACGTTTTGAAGTACGAGAACTAAATTCACTTAATCTCCCAACAGTGTGATGAAGTTTGGCATCTTCATTGCATAACTTTTCTACGAAGGATGAACAATAATTTTTAATTACAGGATAATGTTAATAATGCTAATATTCTTACTAATAATACTATACTATATCGTATATTTTATAATACTATAGTATATCATAAGTACTATTTTACCAGTTTCATTATTGTGAAAATCATCAGAAGGAATAGGTAAGTATTTATCCAATATTAATTCAACGAAATCAGTGGTACTGTCAACAGTTTTTAAAATACTAATTCCTGTTTCAGTTGACATAACTCTATCTGCCTGCTGCCAACTATACATTCTTAAATAATGAACTTTGTAATAAGTGTGTAACTTTATAACTTTAACTCTATGTTTGGTTCCCTTCTTTAAATCTGTGAATGTTTTAACAGCTGGTCTAAGACGTTCTGATACAAGAGACTTAGTCCGGTTTATTATCTAAAATAATTAATACAACATGAAAAAGTAGGTTTTATGAAGAAAAGACTATGAATACAACTACATATTAAAATATATATAACCTGCTTTGGTTCTTCTTTTATTATGGGTAATTTTACTTCTACATAATCAATTCCTTGACATAATGTCTTATCAAGTGTACAAATAGGCTTTTCTATTAATTTAGCAACTGGCAATGACTTTTCAACCATGGTATTAACTATGTTCTCCATAGTGTTAAATGCCCAATGTACAAATACATTTGTATCTTTTACACGACCATATACTGCTGTAGATTTATCCCATAAATAATTTACACTTGGTATTTTACGGGCGCGATTAACAGCTTGTATTTTACATATGTGTTTTGATGATTCAGCTTCCATATTAATAAACAATAATGGAATTTTTATCAATAAAGTAAATATCTTTTACAAAGTCAAAATCTATAACATAAGTTAGCATATAATTTTGTTAAGGGGAAACAAAACTTAGCGTGGCATAGTTATTTGCTTAGTTTAGCATATCCATAATCTACAATTACATAGTTATCATATACAACATATACAAAGCAAACTGAAAGTTGGAATATTCCAAGTCTTGGATATAAATTGATAAAATTCATATCGATTTATGCTTTCACATTGCAGTGGTATTAATATTATTCTTTCAATTTTATACTGCTTATAAATATACTTTTATCAATAACAACAAGAGATATAGAATAATTTAAGTAAACAAGAACCATATTTACAGAAAAATACTTATTAATCATTTTATGAAACATATGGCATAACATGAGGTCATTTATAGAAAAATCTGTCATAACTGTAATATAAAAATTATTCCAATTATTCTAACTTTTCTTAACAAATTGGTTGTTTGACACTTACTCAATGTAATCAACTTCAATAAAACTTTGTTTACATTTATCACGTTTCTTTCAATAACTAAACATACACCTTGATCCAATCTATTTCACCGAGAAATTTATTTGTTCAATAATCAAGTACGACAGTTATAACTTCTCTTTCTCTTATGAAATATCATAACACTGTAGTGCTTTTTACAATACGACGCTACTATTCGCTGCTAAATAATCGTATGAGGACACCACTGTCGCATCTTTACAGTCATGCGTGGTACATCTTGTTTTAACCGACTTTTATACTCAAGACATTGATAACATTCAAATATTTTATAGTTCATATGAAGTTAAGAGGATGAAAGGGTAAGTCACTACTTTTCTAGTTTGAAATGTAATTAAAAATAGAAGAAACGTTTGCCAATCAATTCTTATTTTCAAAAATATGGTAGATAATGCACCTTTGAATCACTAAATTAAAAAAAATTAGAAAAAAATTAGTTTCGTAGCATAAAAATTAAACAAATAAACGTTGTATAGTTTCAAAGAGTACATTATAAACGAATTAGTTTCAAGAATTTCCTAACAACAGTGGTTGCAAATTATCGTAAACTATGATAATATTTATAAATGGAAATTAATCCTATAAATATTAAATGATACTATACAATATTGTAAAATGTATTTTATATGATTTATCTTATGACATGAAAAATTTTTGCTAATATGTACAGAGAAATGCTTTCTTCGAAATGATTAGAAATTTGGAGGACATTTTTGTATATCTGTAGTATATCTGTATCTTGTAGTACCGTGTAGCATTTGAGTCAAATAAGACGGTCGTTATAAGAAATGGTAAACATATAAAAACCATTTGGTAAGGTAAGACAAAGATTTTGCTGTTTCAAAGGAAGTATTTGTATCAACGAATATTAGTTATGCTATAAGAAAGCTATATAATTCAATTTATAATTTATAACTATATAGTTCTCTTTTTTCATAACGATTTTGCAAAAAAGATATTCTCATAACTATCATATATATATATATATATATATATATATATATATATATATATATATATATATATATATATATATATATATATATATATATATATATATATATATATATATATATATATATATATATATATATATATATATATATATATATATATATATATATATATATATATATATATATATATATATATATATATATATATATATATATATATATATATATATATATATATATATATATATATATATATATATATATATATATATATATATATATATATATATATATATATATATATATATATATATATATATATATATATATATATATATATATATATATATATATATATATATATATATATATATATATATATATATATATATATATATATATATATATATATATATATATATATATATATATATATATATATATATATATATATATATATATATATATATATATATAACAATCTACAACCGCAATATCGAATCGTTTCAATTAGTGTGAAATCGATACGAAAATCGATTCTAGAACAGTTTTGAAATCGATATAGAATCAAAGAATAACAATTCTAGATTTAGAACCATTATAAATATAATATACCTGGATAGAAGTGATAGACTGCAGATATTTTTTATGCAAATTCATGTTTTTATAAATATAAAGACTGGAACGTGGGGAGAAAATTGTTTGGATATGAAAATAATTTTATCGACAAATAAAAAAAAAAATGAAAGCAATTCCGAAATATGTACATAATTGGAAGAATATTTATATTCAAACATTAGAAATTCATAATTTAATTAATTCACTTACTTCAAATAGATTTGAACTCCGGATTCTTTACCTATAGATGAAGCGCCGACTACTGCTGAATCTGAAAATGAGCCATCACCGAATCTGCAATGAACAGAAAATTACTATAGAAAATATCATTAATGTAATGAAAGAAGACATTTAAGAAACAACTAGCAGATAAAATTGGTACATCGAATTGGTAAGTATTAAATATTAAATATTGAATATGCGGAAAATGTATATGCCTTTAAAGTCATTAAAATTACAAATAATTACTATTTGTGTATCTGTATAGAACGTTATATAAAATAGATTGAAAATCATATGTATATAAAATATATCATAAAATCATATAAATAATTACTTTTAAAATGATTTGGGATAGAATAAGATTATATAAAATATAATTAAATATAAATATCATTGATGTGCTTGCAAAATATAATACAACTACACTCTTTATACTTACAGTGGTGTGCAGAAAGTTCCACACTGGTAGAAACAAAAGCGGCATTTTAAAGAATCTTAATATTATATATTATTAATTATATGAATATAATAATACTATATAATTATTATCCAATATTAAATTCTCTTAGATATTGTTTATGAAATAAAAAAATTGATTGAAATTTTTGCACACCACTGTATATTCATTAAAAAGATATGTGTAGTATATTTCGTTAGTTATTCTGTGTATAAAGTTATACAGCTCAGAAAATGTTTAAACTATTTTAATAAAATATACCTTTATGTATACTCTTATCAATGATGTTTCAACGATCAGGGATGAGTCCTTAATATTTCTTTATCTCTATACCGTTGCTGTATGATATTCAAAATAAAACTAGCTCCTTCAAAACAATTGTAGCCTAGTATCCTACCAGATGTCCTAACATTGAAGATACCGTCCAAAACAAATTATATTGTTAGTATGATTCATATTATATTTACTATTGAATTCGCAAATAAAATTGGAATTAAACAGTTAAACTATGAGACATATTATATTTGCCACCGAATCGATAAATAAAATAAAAAAAATAAGCGGTTAAAATTTAACGCTTTGTATTTAAAGTGTATAGAAAATTATGTACTAATAATTTTAATTTGTTTCTGTACTCGATAATATTTATTAAACAAAATTTTTTTAAGAATTATTTTTAGTACAAAACTAGTACATGAAATAAAATAAAGAAATTTATTCAAATAAAACATATCTTGTGACGAAATCTTAAACTAAAACAAAATCGATCTGGATTAAATATATTAAATAAAGTATATCAACGTCTTTTTCATATTATATTTATACAGATATAAGATTATAAAATCTATACATAAAAAATATATATGTGTCTCCTATTTACGTAGTATCTTCACAGATATAAATAGAGAGTATATTATGTATAACAACTCTATAAAAGTAACAGCAAATACGGAATTCGATATTAAAATTATCGATTTATAGTTGTATAATTAGGAGTACAATTATATAATGAACTTAAATATCGCATTTTTCAAATTTCTTGTTACAAAAATATAATAAATTTATAGTGTCTTTCTTCCTATTTACATGTTTAGTTGTATACAAAATTTAACATGTATCTTAAAGTGCTGGAATTTTACAATTATGTGTGGAACTAGTATCTTAATGCTTAAGTATCACATTTATTTGCAATTACTTGACGGAATGATATCGTTTCCATTTTTTCATACTGAGAATGAACAAGATAAGAAAACAACGAATAAGATCTGAATCTCATATTACTTAGCGACAAATAAATGTAATAATTTCAGACATCTAATAATGTAAACATAAATAGAAATGTTAATTTTGATATCTTACATTAAATCTTTATAAAATCACATCGACAAATTCGAAAACTCTCCAAATGAAAATTTACTATTTTTTTTCTTACAACATTGATAAATTACATGTGCAGTTACTTTTGCAATTTAATATCATTACCGAATTAAATTAGATGTACTTTCTTACGCATACAATTTTCTACAACATTCTTGGAGAATGTCAGTGATTCATCGAATTCACAGAACAGATAATATAAATTTACATTACATTTACATTGATGAATGAACTTATCACATACTTGAAACTGATACTTTCATTTATTACACATAACTTACATAAAGTCCACGGATTTATCCTTATTCTGCAAGATGAACAAGCATTCCGAGCAGGAACAATACAAAAATTTTACTAACAAATATGGACTTGATGTGAATCTAATTACTTATCTAGCGATTACGTTATTGTGCAATTGTTAGTAACAATTGTGCCTATTTCTTTTCTTTATTTTCTCCATTTGCGTGGTTACTTTCATCGTGTTTATCGGTTAAGCTTAAAAAATGCGTTAGATGAAGAATAGATATTACGCTCGACATATATGACGCTACATCTTCTTTCTTCACTGTTTTTAATTGTGCTACAACCGAATGATATACTCGATTGGCAGTTTTCGAGGATAATTGACCAATAGTTTGTACTGTATGCAGAACTTTGTTCTCATCAGCAGATATAGGAGCTATGAAATAAAAATATAGTATTTTAGAGGTTTATCCAATATTTTAATGTATATATATAGAGAGATGATATTTTGTTAGATATTTATAAATAATACATACCAGGTGTGTTTTCTTCTCCTTCAACTGGAGGGAAATAACGATCTAATAATCCGTTAATGAGAACGCTCGTATTATCAACACCTTGCACTGCCATAGCACCATATGAATTATTCAATAACTCATTAGCTTTGTTTATACTAATTTCTTTGAATGTATATGCGTGTTGCGCCGCAGATTCTTTTGCAGCGTGCAATTTGTCGATTGTTGGTTGCAAGGAACTACTCATTACAGCTTTCGCAGCATCGTAAATCTGTATAGAATAAATGAGATTCGTTAATCATATGAATATGTACATTTAGATATTGTAGCCTGTAACACAGATATTTTATTGTATAAACGAGAAATAATATATTTTTGTTGCCTTATAATCTATTAAATATGACTCTAATAGCTCCTAATTATTTCTTTAATAAAAATCTAATCGATTTTTAATTAATATAGTATTAGTACACTATTTAGCATCTTTTCACATTTTAAAACAAAACGCATTTGATAAAAGATTCTACTATACAAATTCCCATTATCCAAGATTAGGGTCCTATCTCTTTGTTGAACAATTTCAAAATGCACTTTATGTCGCTCGATCCATTGTACTTTCGTTTCTTACAATTTTGTCGCATCTTTTCTGTATATCTTTCTTATTTCATTTTTATTAGAAGAGGTTTATAATTTATATATAGAGTTTGTTGTGATTTCTTATTATTCAATCTCTATCTCGATATATTTACTTGCTGAGGTGGCTGTTTCACGATTGGTACTTTCTGCTCGACCACGTTCAGACCTTCGCACAATTTTTGGTCAACAGCAGTAATGTGTCCTTCGAATTTCTTTGCCAAGGGTACAGTAAGAGGAGCAGCCGTTGCAGTTGCATAATTAAATCCAGCTTCAGCTTGCGTCAGTGCCCAATTTATTAAATGATGCGAATCTTTCAAGTAAGAATATGTAGATCCAGTTTTCTCTATTGCCGAATGAACAACAGGAATGCTTTTTACGCGATTAATTACTTCCAGCTGAGGTGTACCATCAATTGCTTTATTGTCTGCCATTTTTTCTGAAAAATAGAAAGAAGTATTGATGATTATTTAATAAATGATGTATTTATTATACAGATACAATAAGAAAAAATTATGCAAATACAACAACAAATAAACTAGACTAAATTCCTTAATGCTTTGGTCTGATGTAACTTGTTGTTCAATTTCAACGTTACAATCGTGTAGAAATTTTTAATAAATTTATAAGATATTATTATGACTTCAATGGATTATATTTTTATTTCTACTGTTACTAATCGCATAACCATTCGAGTCAATAAAAATAATCTTCGTTAATCATATTAATTGCGATTAAGCTATAAATAACTATTCACATTTAAAATAACATCCAATCAGTAGTAAATAAAAAAGTAACATTTGCCTTAAAAGCAAAATGATCGAATACGTATTTATTTTATAATTTTATTACGTGCTACTTTTTACATGCTTTTACGTATGTGTAACAGGAGAATAAATATTACCTCTACTTTGCAAACAATGATAATAGTGAAATAATATGAAGATAAAAATTATTTAATGAAAGTCAAGGATAACATGTGAAATTAAAAAATTAACAGTGTTGCATAATTTCAAATAAAAATTTGCATGTAATCGGTGAATTAAGCAGAAGATTAAAAATACATAAGTATATTACATAAAATAAAGCTTTTTTACGATACCCAACTTTTCATAAGATTACGCGTATAATTCATGATTCTTTCGCTGTAAAATAAATGATACATTAAAATTGAGTACGCAGTTCAATGTCCATTATGTAGAAAGATAACAATAAATCATGACTTTTAATTTCAAACGTGAATAAACGCACAATATGATAGTACTTGTACTATATACTTTATCATTAGCAGTATTCAAATTCCAAGATTAAATAGTAATTAGGTGTATATATTGCAATACTTGTAGATTTTATACAGTTTTCAATAATATGTGTCATCAAATCTTTCAATTATATTTTTCATGTTTTAAAAAGTGACAAATTTAATGTACATCTACTTCAAACCTATAATAAAAGGAAGGAACAATTTATGAGATAGTACGTAATTCTAGAATAGAACAAACAATAATTATGGATGTAAGTACAGGAAGTACTTACGTAGTAGAGTCTTTTATAGCGTGTACGTTATCGATCTTTATTGTAAAATATTCAACCTTTTATGACTTTACGATAGGTTATGAAATTTTACTGGTCGATAACAATATGAAACGACAAAAATAGTATCAATATTACAATATTAACATAATAAGCCAGCCAAATTAATTAAATGATGACAATAGAATATAAAAACGCGTTAAATAATATAGATTTAATAATAACGCTATTAAAATATTATCAGATTAACGAATATATGATATATCACAAAAGATTACAAGTGTTTCTGGTATCTTCTTTAAGGCTTCAACTAAGAAACTAAATATCAATTTATATTTATTAGTCATCACTGTAGTTATATTTTTAAAACTGATAAATGTGTTTGATATGTATGCAACGAAATGAAGATTTTCATAACTAAAAAAATATATTTTTTGAAGAACATTAATTAAGAAAATAGAAAAAAAAAGGAGGGAGGAATAGATTCTTTATATAAAACGTAAAAAATTTACTTAAAACAATCGCAATTGTATTGCGAGTAAGTATTAAAGTACATATACAGTTCCAATTCATTCTACTTAACTTTTCTTTAGATTGATATTTAATATAACCACAAATGATAGTATTACACAATATATACATCGTAAATATCTAATGCGTAGATGCATCAAGTATTAAGGAGTCAATCATTAAACATTATAAATAATATGACTTACTGATGTTGCTGTGTAATACTTGATGCAACAGTTAGCAAAATATTAGTAAGAGAAGCGGGACGCACTACAGTCGACGATACACACGACAGATCCAGCAATACTGGCGATAGGTAGGCAAAAAGCTTGTGGTAGAAAATGGTCACACAAGTGGGGGTAGACATTCTTCAGGATCGTAGAAACTTGTATGTGCTTACTCTTCTTCTGTCCCCAATATTCTGGGCAAATACTACGAAACACAAATTATTATAAGAGTTTACATTGATACTTTCTACCCTTAATGATAAAATATTTGTCTAACAAATATCACTAAATTTATTCTAATAATTATAATATGGAATGTTTGATACCTATTTCCTTACCATAATAAAATTATCTTTATTACACTATTATGTCGTATATCCAATCATTCAATGTACTTTATAATTTATAAAATTTTTAGGTTTAGATATTATAGATTATAAGTTGCTAAAAAAGTAAAATTTGGTAATTACATAATTACTATTTAATTATTATTAATTTACTATGAATTACAATTCACATACTACATTTCATTTTAAACAAAATTGCTGATTTTAATATATAGATTATAAAATTTTTTACGTGTGTAATAGTGATATAAAGGTACTACAGTAATTTCAAGTAATAAAAAATTATAGGAAAATTTGTTGGTTACTGAATATATTATTTAATCGTGTTAATAACCTTCTGTATTCAAATGGAGTAGATAGAAGGGAACTTCGATGCGTGTCTACTGCCATGATCATGGTAGTGATTCTGCGCAGCTGTACTACGGTGTGTAAACATACATGAGTAAAGATGGTACATATATACGAGACATCATCCATGACGTGGAGGTCACATCGTAATTCTTTTATACCGTATAATACGTTGAATCCATTGATTCGTAATCATTTTGGCGAAACATGATTCGATCAATTTTTGATTCTAAGTAATTAAACGTATTGTTTTGTTTTCGAGATATTTGATACCTTAAGGAAATTTGGGGTTACTCAAATTTATTTTTAATTCACTCCGATTTTCGTTTTCATTTTGTAAAATTGTTATTGTTACAGTTGCTGAATACTTAGCACTAGTAGCTTTATAATAATTAATCTAAATTACTTAAGTTTCCAAATTATATAATTATCTACGATTACTTTTTGATTAGAAGATGAAGGTAAAGGCCCAGAAATATTAAGAGATCAGTTAAAACAAAATATTATTATTACTAGAAAGAAAACTGAAGTAAAATAATACTACAGTTTAAGTCATATATACAGATTATTAAAAAAATTTTTAATAACAAAACCTTCTTTAAAAACTAACAAATCTATCTTTCTTTTAGAAAGTATAAATAAAAAAATAGTTTCATAACAAGTAATTTTATACTTCCTTGTCAATATACAATTTTTATAAAAGCAATTATTGAAAATTATATTCAGGATGTTTTATTACATTTGTTTAAAAAAACAATATAGTTCCTTTAATATATATATATAAAGTATAAATATAATATATATATATAATATATATATATAATATATATATAATACATATACTAAATATAACTATTGTTTTCATCAGATATTAGTATATATGAAGAAATTTAATATTAGAGTAAAGTACAAAACATATTTTTTGATATTTAATTTACTCTGATAATATTTCTTGTAAATTTTATGTTCCGTATAATTTTATTATTTTAACAAATTTATTACATTAACAAATAGATTGTGTCTATTTTCAAGAAGGAATTAAAGCACTATCTTCTACAGTAATACAAAAATAACAATATTTTGAATCACAGTATCTTATATTATCGCGTAGAATTATATATTTATGAGAGTTCTAATAACAAAACATTATTCTTGGAAAAGTTGGTCGTATATTTTTCATCACTGTCAATACAAATACATTTCAATCTCTTAAATGTAATATATAATACTTATATATTTAAAAAATGAAGTTTAGGAAAAAAAGTGATGTATTACAAAATGCACGCTAGAAATAAATAGAAGGCTAATGGAATCGGTAAAAGTTTTTTTTCATAGTTATCACCAACGAAACATCAATTTTGTTTTTTTGTCTCTGCGTTCGATGTAGTTTTCGAATTAGTCTCATGGGTCTGTATTTTGCTGTTTATGGCATGACGGTTCGTTAATAGTAGAAACTGAACCAAGGATTTAATATAGGCTTTTAAATTATCAGCGTTAATAGTGCCTAAGTGAAGTATTATATTCGAATACATACGACGAGCAGCTTTATTAGATAAACGCCCAACCGTTTGTAAGGTATGAAGGAGCTTATCTTCTTCGTTCGTGTTTATCTCTGAAATGAAAACCAAATTATACTAACTGGTATTACAATCAAAATTATTCTAATATAGTCGACTACATAATTTATAATCAAACTGCGGATTTTTTACATTTATGACATTTATAACACATATTTAGTAGGTAGGTAAAACAATTTTCCACGTAGATTCCATATGAACATAAATTTGCATAAATATTCGTAGTCTATTAATTTCTTATTCAATTTATTATAGTCTACTATACTGTATGTAAATACATAATTAACTACTGTTGCATTGATTAAAGAGATATAAACGTAACCCCAATCTATGATTTATGATTAATCTGAAATGTTTAAATCCTCTTGTTTTTATTAATTTATATTGATACTGCATTATTACCACCTATAGGTTATCTATTATTGATATTATATATTAAAAATTGTCTATTTAATAAAATAGCTCACCTTTTGACTGCTCGTCCCCCGTCGCAGGAAAATATTTATCGATTAATTTATTAACAGCGTCAGCTGTGCTGTCTAAACCTCGAACAGCTGCGCTACCATACTGCGTTTCTAAAATCTGATTCGCCTTACTCCAACTTATGTCTCTGAAACTCAAGGCTTGCGAGATTATTAATTCGTTGACAAGCGAAATGCTCATTACAGCTGGTTGAACAGTTTGTCGTGCTAACGTATAGGCATTTTCTAGAATCTAAAACACAAAAAATGCACATAGTTAAAAATATAATATTTTTTAATACTAACGATAACTTTATATGTAACGTTTTAATACCTTTTTGCCATAGAATATTTATATTATTTTACAGCGAAAATTTGTTAATACAAATTATTACTGAATGATAAGATACAATAATCCATGATTAAATATAATTATATCTAGAATAGCAAGATTAAAAGAAAGATCGTAAGAATCGTGTTTGAAGATATGATAAAAATTTCTGATACATGTATTTAGGTTTAAAAATTCATGCAGTTATGACTTTTTAGATTCCGATGAAATTTTTATCTCGTTTGCCGGAAAAGGGGATAGATATCTGACCTGCTCAGGTTTCTCTTTAACCATCGGAACTTTTTCTTCGATTTTATCGAGACCACGGCACAACGTGTGGTCAACAAAGTGTATAGGGTTCTCGAGTTTCTTGGCGATAGGAACAGCAATAGGTACCGCTTGCTTCGTTGCATTACTTAAAGAAGTTTCCGCAGTGGTTAGTGCCCAGTGCACTAGCTGATGACAATCTTTCACACGCAAATACGTCGCTGTTGATTTAGATATCGCACTTTCGACTACTGGAAGTTCCATTACTCGATGAAACACTTCGATATGCGGTAGCTGCATGACTTCGGTAGCCATTCTTTCACTATTTTAAAAAACTTGTGGCGATTTCAAACTCTGCAACAATTCAGATTTTTCGGTTTTACGATTTTTCATTTTCGAAATTACATTTATAAAACGTTCCGTTTTGGTCCCTATTATATTATTTATTCTTTAATGTTAGAATCTAATATTAAATAAAATATTTCTTTTTCTATTTTATTTATTAACTGCCAATATTCTGATAACTGAATGATTCTATTTTTATTAGAAACAATTCTTTATAAAGACATTTGTATTATAGATATACTAATTTTATTGTATTACGTCTACGTTTCCATTCTCTGAAAAAGTAATTGTCAACTGTAACAATTTTAATCTTTGTGTTAAACTAAATTTTAGAATAATATTGTGATAAGGACAGGAAATCCCTGTCTGATGATAAGGCAGGTTCAATGCACTAGTACATGTATATATATATGTATTCGCTACATATAGTGCTAAATATAACACTTTCTCAACTTTCGCTAGAATTCGCAATTACATTTAGAAACGACTGAAGTTGAAAGTCAGTACGTAACACTTCGGAACAAGGCAACTTTCTTATTTATTTATTATACTACTGCTAACTACTGCTAATACTACAGCTGTAATTGAAGTATTGTAATGTGTATCTATTTTCACATTTAATTTATTAATTTCACCGAAGTGTAGTAAATGATACTTGTAATTATATTAACTAAATTATAATATTTTCCAAAACGTAATCATGTATGAACATACTCATAAATCATTAATAAAACATATATTCAACTCATTTAATTTAGTTTCTATTAGTATTTTCTATTTCACTAAAAATATTTGCTAATTTTAAATGTTTATAAGGCTTGTGCATGTAGTAGGTATGTAAAATCTAAATATGAAATAAAAATCGAACATAAGAAACTTCTGAAATTAAAAAATATTTCGAAAATTTCAAAAACTTAGAACTTTTCAAAATTTTCTAAAATAAAATGTTGCTATGATACTTACAAGCTTTTGTTGTTACTTCCTTGTTTCTATAGAAGGCTTAGAGGGATTGATCGCGAGTGCAACGTAAATAGAAATGTGCTTGGTTGCACGCAGTCTTTACTCTTATAACTGGCTTACCGCCTGCGCGCTAAAGTTCGTTCATACGAGCCAATGAAAATCGACGAGAACATCTACAAGCGGTGATCGAACACATGCTACGAGGCTTCAAAGTCCGCTAACACGACAGTGCTTTCACGTTATCATTATTACTGGAACAGCCGCTTAAAAATGGATGAAAATTCGTGATTAGTCACAAACATTGCAGCAACTATTAAGGACTTTATACCGACTTCTTTCATAACAACGCTACGTGGAGATTTTCATGTTTCTAACGCGAACAACTTAGTTGAACGATGATTTAAAGTCTGCCGGTTACATACATTACATATATATAATATATTTCTAATTATAATATATATATACATATTATATTTATATTTATATAAATATAATTATTTATATTTATATATATATTAAATATATATAATATAATATTATATATATATATATTTAGAAAAGAATCATAGGATTCTTAGGATGATAGGATAGATCATCAAGGATTATTTGTCATACCATGCCAGATATATTGCTTAACTATGAGATAAACATTAGTCTTCTCTGAATGAAAATCGTGCTTCACTTAAATAATTTGAAACTCGTAATAGTTGCAACTTTGTAAGAATATAAGATTACAAATAATTTATTAAAAAGCAATTAAATTTTAAGCTTTCACTTCTTGCATTGTGATTAAACAAAAGTTTATTCTATTCTATTTTAATTCTACAATTTTGAATGAAGTATACAGGAAACTGTATCTTCCCATTAAATTGTATCAAAAAGTATTATTCACTGTTATAAAGCTTCTAGAAGGTACAATTCATTACTAATCTAATTTTAAAATATAAACAACAAAGAAAACATGGTATATGTATGTACATTAAAGACTAGCAATACTAATTGAATAATTTATTTTATAAATATAATTTTGTTCTTTATTATCGTTATTTAAATATACTTTTATACATTTTTATGAATAACCCAAGAAATACAATATAGACACTTTTAATGAACTTTTAATGGGAACAATTTTATTTTAAGTTACTTGTGCATGAAATTTATGTTTTTATCTTTCGATGAAAAACAGCATAAGAAAATAAACAGAAGTCGATGTTTAAATAAATTAGTTATTGTTGAATTTCTTTCTTTGTTCATTATACGTCGCATATACATGTTTGTATGTTGTGTGTTACCGGCAATATAAAATACTGGTATTTCATATAATGCCTACAAAATCTATAGAGTGCGTGTCGTTTTTAGGTTGAGCATGAAATGTTTGTGTTATATTAATATATTTTATACTTTCCCTAGGCATTGATTGTCATTCTCCGTAAGGTGGCCGGGTAAAATACCACCCAACAGAAACCTACTTTATCTTTTGTTCATAATATATATAGATTTGGGTTAGATGCTAATTTTTATTCGGCCGTTGTAAGGCGTATACGCAGCTACGGTCGCCCAGATAGACAAAATTTGCTATAGTAGCACCGATAATATTTTGAGAATACTATTTATGACATTCTATAGATTTCTTAAGAATTATATAAAATGCCTATATTTTACACATTGCCTATAAGATATATAATATATACATATATAATGTTAATTTTTTTAACGAAATACTATTTTTTTGTAAAGCCTTACTATATTAAATAATCTTTGTAAATTAATCTATAATTCAAATATGAATTTTTGAATTGTTATATAATTGTTTTTATCAAATTAACTTTACTTGAAAATTATTCCATAAAAAATTAGCAAACTTTCAAAAGAATAAAATAAAATGAGTTGTAAGTAACAGCATTTATATCTAAAAAAAATAATGTTAAAATTTCCAATTCTTTATCAACAATATATGTAAGTAAATATTTTACTACTAATAAATATTTACTATTTCTTTTCCTTTTGGACAAAATAATGTAGCAACTAAAGTACCAGATTATTATTTTTTGGAAAAGATAATGATTTTATTAAAGTCTGTTTGTAGGAGTTAGCTTTATAAAGTTTTTTGCTTTCCAACTTATAGTTAGTAAAATCTTACTATAACTATATCATATATTATTTTTGTTGAAATTTTTATATTTTTTATAAACAAATTTATAAATTTATATATTATCGTATTGGCTATTGCCACAGGAGATATAAAGATAAACTACATTCGGTATGAAACATACATATTTAGTTACAAAAGAAAGATTCACTTGTTCATTTAAAAATTGTTGCATCCTGCACTATACCAATCACTTTTACATTATTTTTATGTATATACAAAACTCTTACATATAAACAAGAATATAGACTCTAGACATTTTTTGATACTTCTTATTTTATAAATAGAAAAAATATCTGTAATAATTTACTCTTCTTCGTAGTGAGATTAAAGTAAAATAAAATAAAGTCAATATTTTTTTAAATCATATTCATTTCAGTTAAATTAAAAAGTCAAACAAAATTTTAAAAAGTCATATTGTCATGTGTATAGCTTCATTGGAATGATACGTAAATTATAGATTTAGTACCTAAACTTCATTAACATAATAATACTGATCCAAACAAACTTTACTTTTAACTTCTGTATCATTTTACCAACACAATATAATAAATTATTCAGGTTTGAGATACTTCATTCAATGCGAAATATATCAAACTTAATATTGCAGAAAGAAATATCGCAGATTTGTGCCTAAATGACGGAAACGGTCAATACAATAATTAAAACGAACTGAGCGCGATTCGATCTAATGGTAAATTATTATCCATATGAAATACTTCGTGTCTAACTAAATTTTGTCATCAACTGCTACCTTTACTCCATGGTTGTTCCGAGGCAGATGCAAAAATTAAGTAAAAACAATTTGTCGCCATATTTATTCCTGCTGCTAACCAGAATACTGTATGCCAACGAGCCAGTGTTTCCTATAACATAAAATGTAAAAAAATTATAGAACCATTTTTATAGAACGAAGTTTATTATTGCTAATAACAATGTGTAGTTATACTGACATGTCCTTGGACTATATTTCCAATAAAATATGGGGCTAAAAATCCGCAACCATTTGCCGCAGCATTTGTAAGTCCATAAAGAGTTCCCGCATATCGTGGTGCTAGAGCAATATGATTCATTTGATTCCCTGCATAAATTGCACCTTGTAGAGATCCTAATCCAGCGAGCATCATCATAACCATCATACGATCACATCCAGCCCAGATAGCGCCAATGAAACTGAGACTGGGTCCTAATGAAGCCACTGTATTCCATAACTTGAACGATGCTAAAGGAGATATAAGCTGACGGGCAAGGAGGGCATCTGCGAAACTTGAAATACCGAGTCCGACTAACCAAGAACTTAAATAAGGCAGTGCTGAAAGGAATGCGTCCTGTTGTACATCAAAATGCAAAATTTTATCCATATACGTTGGTAATTCTGTTAAAAGCGTATAAAATGACCATGACTGTCCACACTGAGTGATAGCTATAGCCCACATGGGTAATGATGTAAATACTGATAACCAAGGAACTCCTGAATCATTATCCTGTTTTTAACATACATTAAGTTAAATTTTATTCAGTCCGTTAAGAATGTAAGCTTAATTTTAAAAAATTGAAAAGAACCTCATCCTTCTTTTCCACACTAGCTTCAATGTATGCTCTTTCAAGAGGATCAATCTTTTTATGTTGTGCAGGTGTATCAAATATAAAAATTGTCCAAAATGCATACCACACAATACCAAGCCCTCCAAATAAATAAAATGCAAGGGGCCATCCACCCCAAAGTTCTAATGAACAGAGCCACCCACTTACTGGTAATGATATTACAGTTCCAAAATTTGCACCTGTATAAGAATGAATATAACAAATCAAATTTATCACACATTGAAAAAAGAATAATTACCTGCATATACTATAGCAGCAAATTTGCTTCTTTCTAAAGGGGGTACCCAATGCGCTAACATGCTATGCATTGCAGGGAATGTAACACCCTATTTATAAAATAGACAGAAAATTTTTTAAATTTTAAATTAATGTTCTTTTAAAATTAATTTATAGAAGCAGGACATACCTCTGTAAATCCTTCTGCTACTCGTACAGCTAAGAATGGTATCAATCCTATATATGCTGCAAAAGGAGTAATTACAGTCAGTACAGCAGTTAAAAATACTCCCAATCCATATATTAGCTTTCCACCAAATTTCTCTGCCATTCTTCCACCTGGGACATTTGTAGCAACATAACCGATGAAAAAAGCTCCCAATATAACACCTTGTGTCTTCTCATCCCAATCAAATTCTCCTGCACTCTTTGGAAATGTATATTACTTTTATTTTTATTGATAACAATTTAAAATCATGTATGTAAAGAAAAGCATAATTAATTATTTTAATATTAATTAATTAAAAATAAATATTCTATTCAAAATATGCAGAAACATAGCATTAAAATGTTTTCATGAAACATTTAAAGATGATAGGTATATAACAAGATAAAGGAAAAAGATGTAGGCGTTAAAAACATATCAATGTGTTAAGTCATACTAAAAATGATAAGTTTGCATGACTAATGTGATAATGAAGTAAAAACAATGTTGACATTTGATCTGCATCAATATTACGCATGCAGAATGCAATAAATCACAAACTTCAGTTCTATAGTTCTTACAAAATATAAAATACATCCATATATATCATATGCAGAAATTCTAAAATTGATATGAATAACATTTACTAAATTATATAATACATTATAAGCAACATTGACTTAAACATTAAACATTATTAAATAACTTACTGGTATGAATGTTCCATTAATTGGTTTTTCCTTAGGACAAACATCTGTGGTATTATTATCATCATTATGTGGTACTGCTGTTTGATTAACCATTGAAACAATAGCCACAGATAAATTTACTCTCATAGCATACACTAGTGCAAACCCTAGAAATCCTAAAAAGCCTAATGTATGCCTTGCTTTTATGCATGATTTTGTATCAGGAGGTATATCTGGTATAGTAACTAAAAGTAAAATTTTGTTATCAGGTTTATTTAGATAGAGAGAATATAGAAAAATTTATTTAAAAAAATATAATGTTTATAAAAAATTATTTTAATGATTTTTATAATTACTAATTAAATTTTTGATGTAAGATTTTGTATAACTAATAATTCATTATTTTATACAGTTATATATATTTCTTTTTTCAAAATAATAATTGGCATACGTTATTATATCAAGATATGTATCTAGATATGTATTTGAAGTTCAGAATTAATCAGCTAATAAACTAATAACTGCATCAAGTCCTTTAAAACATCTATGATCCTTTCCTATCCTTATTGAAATATTAAAATTCAACTCAATTTCCAACAAAAATAAATAATATGTAATATCTTATTTTAAGTTAACCTAGTGTATCTTCTGACAACTTTTTATACAATTTCTGGTTCTTTCTTTTTCTTGACATCTGTTACTATTTACTTCCATTCAATATATTCATTTACTTCTTACTGCAAAATTTTCATTCATATAGAATAATTTATAAATAAATAAAAATCCGAGGAGCATAATTATAACGTGTTTTTAAAATAAAAAAGTAATTATTAAAAAAAGCTTCAAAATATAGTTTCGATCGATGCAGTTCACGTAAAATAATATATTCAGAAAACTTGACAGCTGACAATATTGTGGAGAGCTTATGTATCGTTCTGCCAATCCTTTGTTTCCAAACAATGCCTTCTCTTAACTCAGGAGGTTTTTAAAGGTTTTTAATGCTCCCAAAAAAAGGTTGCAAACAAAATCACGAAAAAAAATATTTAAGCAAATAGTTATTCGATTAATATGATAGGAAAATATTGAAAATAAACCTTTTTCCAAAAAATCATTGACGCACAAAGGCTGGTCGTCTCTTGAGACACTAGGATCCAATACTTCCATGTTGTATGATTTTTTCGCGAATACTCAACACTTTCACGAAGAATTCGTCGCTTCAAATCGAAAATATTTTTCGATTGTATGTAATTACGATCGCTCCATTCGTCGCGTTAATGCGGTAACAAAATAATATGCAATTTAATAAAGAAATTTTGTAATGAGTCTTAGCAGCGATACAATGTATGTTAAGTAATGGTAAACTGTCGTCTGCTGTCATCGTCGTTTATCGCTGGCACGAATTGCTGCGCGCTCACATTATATATATATATATATAAACATATATACTGAAACTCGATTGTGTGTGCAACGTAGGAAAGAACGTCCGTGCAGGCGCGTTTTACTTCTTCAAAACTTTCTATAATTGAATATAATTGAAGGATAAATTGAAGTTTGTTGAGATTATGTTGTTCACTCTCGAACAACGATGATCGAATAATATTTGATCCATATATATTCTGTGAGCTTTATTACATTTACGTCATGATTAATTTTATTTTCTGACACAATTAAATTAAATAAGGATAAGAATATGAGAATTTTTTATAATTATGTGACTCGTAAGACTATGAAGAAGTAATAAAAGCTGCACTGTTTTTATAACAGAAACTATACGCATATATAAATTTTTGATAGAGCTTTTAAAGAATTACCAGCTTATATGATATTATTCACAGGAAAAGAAAAAATTACGAACTAAAATTTTTTGTGAATAAAAGGCTTTTATTTTTGGATATATTAATATAAGAAAGAATGTACACATGTACATTTGAATAATTTCATTTCTTAATAGATTTCACAGAACTTATTTGAATATGAAACATTTTTTATTAATAAAAAAAAGTTGTGCTTTTTCTTAGATCAACATATAATTAAAAAGAATTTATGTTCAAATATTTAAAGTTTTGATACAGTATAAAATATTGTGTAAATGTTAAATATTTTATTATAAAAGATTATTTATTATGTAATCATGAAATAAATGTTTATACATAATCCATCGAAATATAATTTTCAATATATCGCTCCAAATTTTTTTAGTAATTTTATAAGCTGAATAAAACTATTATTCTTAAAAGTAGCACTGATTACAATGCAATATGTAAAGGTTTTTCTTATTAATTAGGCTCCTCTATTCTCTCAATTTAATACTTAGCAATTTTTGGTGTTTATTAAAATTTCTTAAACATTAGAAATGTATAAATATTACTAATTATGTGAGTGGTCAATACCCTGCAATAAAGACAATATATACCATAATTTTTTTTTACTGGGAACATTTTGTGATCTCTTTTCTAGATATAAGTATATACTACATTCTTTATTGTTTCTAAATCCAAAATATTTCAAATAGTATTGACGAATATATTATTACTTTTCTTATAGAATTTATATGAGAAAATTAAACATACAAGTTACCAAACTCCATTGTTTTTAATCATTATAAATATAATTACAAAGAAAATTGCTTTTTATATGAACTTCATACTGAAATTTATTTTCATGTCAAAAAAATGCAAATTCAAGAAAATAAATAACATAATACACTGAATCATGTTATATCATTTAAGTACTATTTTGTATTTTATACAAGATATTTAATATAACAAGTAACTATAAACAAAATATAATTTGTAAAATGATATAATAAAATGTAATATATAAGTACACAATATAATAATATAGACTCAAGGAGATATAATGCATAAAATGAAACTGTAAACTTTTAATACCTAAAGCACAGCACGTGTAAATTTATAACATTTTAAACATATAAATAGTTAAAATAAAGCAAATATATTCAATTTGTGGCTTGCTCAGTAATATTTTTACAAAAATGAGTAAATTTAGTTGGTAGTACTAAAAACAAGCTACTTAAAAGCTTTGCACTTATGAAATAATTTTTACATTTTATAATTTTTTCAATTCATAAATCAGAAATTACAGTCTGTCGTACAAAAGTATACTGGCGTTGGTATGTAATAAAGGAAAGATTGTAATATAAACATACACAATCCATTCAGATATGCCTTGGCTTATAATTTATAATGTCTAAGTTAAAGGTACATCTGCACCAAATGGAAATCTGAAAACGGTATCATTGTGTTGGACTGATTGTCTTAGTCATTAGATACAAATCGCATAAAAAATGTTTGGTCCATTATGAAGCACAAATTGAAAGGAAAATGTATTTTAAAGTTAAGAATTTTAATGAACTACATTAAAAAAATATGGAGATCGCTATCTGTGTCGTATCCCGAAAAATTAGTAAAAAGTATATCGGTACATTGTCAAGCTATAATCGATAATGAAGGAGATTGGATTTATTAATAAGCAAGAGCATACTAGTGCTTTAGATATATTTTCAATTAAAACAAATTAATTTTTGTTTTGTAGGACAGACTGTACTTTGATTGGTTAATACAATAAAGTAAAGCATTTATAATTCAAATACGTAAAAGTGATATACATCACATACTGCTTTTTTATTGAGTTATATGGAAAGTAAATCAATTTAATTTATTGAATTTATTTATAGTTAAACTATATATGTACATATATTAATATGAGAATAAATAAAACTGAAAAATACCAAAATTTCAGCAAAAAAGACATATACTTGAATATGTATACATACATGGGGTATATATATACAATTTTTACATTACAATATAGAAGGAGTAAAATTTTAGAAATTAAATAAAAACTTTCCATTTAACTCAATACAGAAACCGATTTTAATATTAAAAATTTCGCGTTTCTTCGTTATTAAGTTAAGGCAATTCTAATTATTTAATATAACTGTATTGAAATCCTTATAAATTGCTTCTGAGCTATATGTATAACAATAACATCGATCAATAACAATTATTCTAACATCTAGTTCATGATCGATGTAATACTAATTCAGACATTTGTATGTAAATATATAGATACAGTTTAAAGTTTAAAGGAACGTCATACCACGGTAATGTACGTCAACACTTACTAAATAGTACTTTCTTTGGTAAGTAAAATAAATAATTCATTAAAGTGTTTAAAATAATAATTGCATACACAAAATAGTTAAAATTAATCGCTTTAGATTTGCATACGTTTTCTTAGAAACAGAACATTAATATTTAGTAAGAAGGAAATTATTATAACATTCCGAAAAAATCACAGGAGATATAGTAAATACAGTGCTTAATTATTTCATCTTAGTAAAGATGTATAACTATTCTTAATTAAATCAAAGCTGTCTACAAAAGATTAAACATTATAATCAAAGGAAATCTAGTACAAACTAATAGATATAAGCACATAACTAATTAGCAAAATACTTTTAAAATCGTGAATGACAATGAAGTCTCAGATCTTGTACTAATATACAAGAATTTTTCTTGTGTAAAATTTGCTATGTAAAATTTAATCTTTGAATTTGATAGAGTGTATCAAGCAAAATATATATGCAGATGATTAAAAAACTTATTTCTGAAAATGCAATATAATTTAGTGTTTTTTAGAACTAAATTTTGTTTATAAAAACAAAACCCACTAAAAATGCTACCAGAGCATTAAATGTGATATACTGTAATATACATATACACAACTATTCTTTCAATTGAAGGTTAATTGCTCAAATGTTTTTATTACCAGCCCATTGTAGAAGTAACGTGAGAACCAACTGTAAAATCTTTGTATTGAGAAAAAACACAGATCTGAAAAATGTTTCAAATAAAATAATAAACAATTTGAAACAGTTTTATTTTAACTAACCTTGTCTTTTAGTCGTTGACAAAGCTGTAATGCAATAGTAAGTAGTACTAAAGCATCATTTAACCATGGAACACTACATTCCGCTTGTTGTGTTTCATATTTAACACTACCATGTGCATTTTCTAATTGGTATATTGCTAAAACTAGTTTATAACTTTGAATATAAAAACTAATTGCCAAATTTTCTGGAAGATTAGGATTTAATGACTTCTGCAATATAAAAGATTGATAGTTCAGATATGAAATATGATATCAAGCCTAAAGGATTAATGTAAAGGATTAATATAAATCAAATATTCCTCAGAAATGTTTACTCACCATATTACGGCTTTTAATGAGATCATCAATAGTTTTTTTTCTAGGAACAATTAAACTTGTACGACTCCGTTGGAGGCAACCAAGTATGTTCCCTAATACATGCATAACTTCATCAGATGTCTTAAATGGATAATGACGATCAACATTATCTATGTGAGCAATAGCTTGTTGTAAATGATTAGCAGCATCTTGTATTTGTTGTAACTTCCAAGGATGTTCAGTTTGTATACTTGTTCTCATATTAATATTTTGTTGACGCTGTACTTTAAAATTAACTTCCTAGAAACATGTTTTTTTAAGATAATAATATAGCTGCAAATTAACAAAATAATTGACACTTACTGCATTTGTAATACTGTCACCAGTTAAAACAGCAACACATTTCACTTGATCATGTGGTGCAGCAAATACAAACCTATCTGTTTTATTATGTTGATCGTTGCCAAATAATGCTAATGGAAATCTTTGTGCACATTCCTGTAATATAACATACATTAACATGACATATATGCATATAATATAAATAATAATTTCTTTATTTTGTTTTATGATAAATTCCAGAAATATATAATACCATTAAAATATTCCTTAGCTGTGATAGTGAAGAATGTACTTCTTCATGAAGCACCCATTCAAACTCCATTTGCTGAAAAATGTTGTAATTAAATTCTAATCGCTTCGTATAACAATGTGGATAATGATTAAAACATTAATAAGAATTAATACTGCATCATTTTGCATTTGGGGTTCATACATATCGTTTGTTACACAAGTGTTTATAAATAATCATTAAATACATGCTTGAGTAAATTAATATTTTGTTCTACAAGTTTTGATATCTTACAGCTATTATTTATTTAAATATATAACATACTATACTCATGTCCAAGTAATAAATTATTTTTGTATATCAATTTTAGTCCTATATTCAATAAATTGTAAAACTGTATTGAATGAATATTTTCATATGATTTAATCAACCATAGTTACTAGAAAATAAATACTGTCACAAATTTTTGAAATAGGATTACTGAATTGTGTATTCCTATATGTAAATAAGAAATAAACGTAACATCACAAAATCATTCACTGAAGGGAACATAACCACAAAGAACTTGTCTCAGTAAAAACAGTAAGAGTAAATTGATTAGTTCGACGATAGATAAGGTACACTATCATCGCGAACCGCGAGACGGCGAGGTCGCCTAAGTGATTAGATAAACGGTAAGTAAAGGCAAATAGCTTACGAGATTGTGAGCCTCCTCCTTCTCGCAGTCAGCCATTTTCTCTACCGGGTGATGCCTACCACTTGTTTCCTAGTTACTTAAGATTCTATATTTGTCTAATCTTTAAAATTCTTTTGTAGAATTTCTACTTTCTTCTTGGAATATCTCATTTATTACTCAACCTGCGACAGAATGTCGACGTTACATTAAATGCCAAAGATAAATCCCGTCATCTTCAGTATGAAATATTGCAATCTTAAATAGATAAATCGTTATCATTATAAGATATTTTTATGTTCTAGGATTAGTATGAATTATTGTAGAAATTTACTTACCAGTAAATAGACTCAAACAGTTAGCAATAAAATAGTGACATTTGCCCTATCTTTATATTATAAAAAAAAGGTAATTATAAATTTATCTTAATAACATACTAACATACATCTAAATAATATTTCGTCAAAATCAAGTATTTACAAAATCTAAATTCTATATTGCATGTTAAATTTGCTATTTCATGTAAAAAAAAACTTTATTATTAAAACGAATAACAAATTTTGGACTTTATTTACCATTTATTAAGAAGAGAGAGAGAGAGAGAGAGAGAGAGAGAGAGCTTGATTAGATAACATTATGTATAAATATATTTAGAATTTGTAGAATTATCTGAAAATCAACAAGTGGAATTACAAATATATTAAATATATATAAAATATATTTTATTTAATATATAAAAATATTTTTTATCATCTTATCAAATTATTCTTTATTTTCAGGAATTAGTTTTTCCATTTAAGTTTATAATATTGGTGATATATTTCTCATCCTTGTAAGCTTAATTTATTACTAAAAATATGAGTCTCAAATTGTATTATGATTTATTATCACAGCCAAGTAGAGCTCTCTATATATTTTTAAAAGTTTGTGATATACCATTTGAAGGGAAATTTGTAAATTTAGCGAAAGGTGAACATCTTAATCCAGAGTATCAAAGGATCCATCCTTTTCAAAAAGTACCTGCTATTGAGCACAATGGTTTTAACATGATGGAGAGGTATTATTGCTTTTTAGTATGATTTATAATTTGTATTAACAAGAAGAAATAAACTAAATATAAATTTTGATTTACAATTATATACAAATATAATGTCATGTTTCATTTTTTATGTTTAATATTTCAAAACTAGTAACTTAAATGAAAGTTATAAATGTCATTGATATTTTTTAATAACTTTTTATCTTTATTCTTTGAATGAAGATACAAAATGAAAATCATTATAGAAATAAGAAAATGTATAAATTATAACATATTTCTATATAAATAATTTTATAATTTAATTTGCAAGAAATTAAAGAACATTGAATGTTTTATAGTGTTGCAATTTTGAGATATCTCTGCAGAAAATTTAAGATAGCTGATCATTGGTACCCTGAAGACTTAAAACGTCAACTTAAAGTTGATGAATATCTTGAATGGCAGCATCTTAATACAAGACTAAATTGTGCTTCATACTTTTTTATGAAGGTAAAGAAATTCCTTTATCTATAAAGAATGATATTGAGTCTATAGACAATGATAATAACAAGAGAATCATGTTCTTCCTACTCATAAAAATCTTTATTACAGTACATGAAACCATTATTAACTGGAAAATCAATGAACCCAGAAAGTCTAACGCAATATGAAAAACGCATGATACAAACACTTGATGATCTAGAAAATTTCTGGTTAAAAGACAAAAACTTTTTAACTGGTTCTGAAATCAGCATTGCTGATATTCTAGGGTCATGTGAGGTAGAACAAGTTCGTAAGTAATGATATGTGCATTCACTGAAAATGAAATAAAAATAAATAAATAGTATCAGGAAAGCCTTGGCAGATAATTTTTAATATTTTATTATTTGGTAGAAGATAAACCATTTTCATGATTAATATACAACATAACAAATAATAAAAAATAAAGATTGTATTATTATATTACTATAGAAACGCAATTTTCAATTAGGAATAGTTGGATATGATCCAGAAGAGAATCGGCCTCATTTAACTGCATGGATGAAAAGAGTTGCAGATAAAACAAGTCCTTATTATCAAGAAGCTCACGTACTTTTAAATAAGCTTACAAGTAAGGTAAAACAAGAGGGATTAAAAAGCAAGTTTTAATAGTCATGAATTTTGAATCTATGCTCACTCATTTAAGAATTACATAAGAATTTTTTTATAATTTTCTTGTATTTGTTACAAAATAATATTTTTATTCGTAACGTTTTAAAAAATCTGATTTGAAAAATATATAATTTGTTTTTTAAATAATTGAAAGAAATGTGAGTAATCAAGGTATATCTTTTTATTAAACATGTATCAGGTACATATGTGTGCAAATGTAGTAGTGCTTTACTATATTAGATGTGTATGATACGAAGTATACCAGTCTTATTGCACAACAAAGTTATATTATAAACTGTTAAACATATATATTATTGTTATTGTTGTATTATTATATGATACTACATTTTGAAAGTATGTTTACTTTTGTATGAAAAAACTATAGAAAAATATCTTTTTTACTCCACATAAAATACATTTTATGCATCAAGTCAATATTCCGAAATTTATATTTCTAACCTAATTAATTTTATGTAACTTTCTTTAATTTTGGCATTTTCTTTGGGCATCTTTGTACGTGGATATACCAATGTTTCTCTTGGCACCGTTCATCACAATAAAAGGCCATTTCACATCCTAAACATTTAAACTTTGGTCCGATAATACCACAATTTAAACATGTGAGATTATGTGAACTATTTGGACTACGATTCACTTTACCTAGATGCGGTGTCTCGCAATTCCTAGTTCCAGTTTCTAATACATTTTTCGATAATTGTGCATGTGAAGGAATTAATGGCATTCGATATTGTGCTGTTGGAACAATAGACGTCATCGTCGACTGCGCATCATTATTAATAACTGAATTTGTTTGCGCAAAATTATCCGTGGTTTTTACAAATGCCAATTGGTCGAATACAAAATTTTGCATTTGTTGATACTTAGTGTTTTCATGACTTTCTTTGTTAAAATTACTATCTTGAGTTAAATTAGTTACGTCACGATTAATAATTGATCTAGTAGCGCCCGATACGTGAGGTGGTTCTCTGTCAATGACATTTGGAATACCAGTAGGCGATAATGCATCCGTCTCGGTTCTATTATAAGTCAACGTATCTCGTTGCCTATCAAAGGAAGCAGCAGCGACAACAGCAGCGGCTGCTGCTGCGGCAACAACATCCGGTATCATTCTGTTCCGAGAAAATTGATTGTTTGTCGTATAGCCAATTAAAGAATTTCGAGGCAGGGTCTGATGAGAAGTTGATAAAGACGGTGGTGATAGAAATAACGATGGTAAACAAGTTGTGGTACCAATGTTGTTAGTGCTAGAGTTTCCTCGAAGACGATCAAACTCCAAATTACCCGAATGCTGTAGAGTGCTTGTCGATGGTGAGGGATACCTTACAACTGGATCTTGTATTATGGGAAAACGTTTATCCATATGGTGCATTGATCGCAAGCTTTCTTGCACAGGGAAATGAAATGGTAAGGAACCCGAGTGTAATCGTGAGTCATATGGATAAGAACCGTAAGGACAAATTGGTGGATGATAACTTAAGGCAGCACTATTATAAGGATCGATCTGTAATGTAAAAAATTATACATGATTGTACTTCATCAGTGCATAAATATTTATACATTATTAATATTGGTATACTGTGATTAATAATATAATATAATATTTGTTTATAATATAATATACAATATAATACAAAAAGTATATTACATAAGTATTCGAATCTGTTCAATAAGTTTTCTGTATCTTTTGTAATAAAATACGAATATTTCATCAATTATATTACCTCAACATTTTCAATCTTGCCGAAATGAAAATATTAAAATAGATTGATTCTACTTACGGCGTAATTATTCGGGTAAAATTGAGTCATAGAAAGTGGTGGACAAACACCAGGTCGTAAGGGAGGAACTGCTGCAACAGGTTGTAGTTGTTGTTGCTGATGATATTGCCATTTCTCTGTACCGCGTTGAGGCGTTGAATTTATTATGTGATTATTGATATTAGGTCCAACCATCTTTGGTATTTCAGACCCAGAAATTTGCTACGATGTATTATAAAATTATTTAGATTATTCGGAGAAATTCCAAAAGAAAATTGAAAAATTCTATTAAATTGCTCTTACGCGTGTAGTGTTTTCTCCTGGTACAAACGGCACGTTTTCTGTGGCTTGTAATTTGGGTTTGGTTATTGAAGCTTGCTTTTTCGACATTCGAGCGAACCAGTTACCAAGAGTAGGAAATTGTTCAGTTATAGAATGATTCCCGTTACTCTTCTGTACAGAATCAGCCAGAATTTCTTCTCCTTTACGACTCTGTCGCAACCTGTATGCATAAAATATAAGGTAGAAATATAGATAATAAAATATATTAATTTTTCATTTAACTTACGCGTGCTTCCCCTGATTCAACATCATTTGTGAAGAATCAAATTGAGTTGGCTGACCCAAACTCGATGAAACCTGAAACGAATTCAGCACTATGTATAGTATAAAACAATATTACAAATAAAATTTTATTTGTCTGAAAATTATATTTTACAAACCTTTTGCGAATTTATACTGTCTTCATGATTTGTCGAAAATGGTACTTCCTCTCGATTGGATTCATAAAAATTAGGTTGTACTGTATGATTCCTTGACGAAGAGAACTGTTTGGCAGATATCATCTCAAACGATTTGTTTTCTTGAACAGTTGTTGGTATTTCCACGCAATTAGCTACAGAACTTATTATGGTTCCAACATCCGGAAACTCCAAACACTTGATTGTTTCTGGTTCTTGGATCACAAGACGACACTGAGAAAACCCTTTATTTCTTTCGTCTTTCTTTTCCCGAGCTGCATTGTTGTTCTCTGGTGATTGAGTAACCTTGTTCGAATGATTGAAAGCTCTCTTATTTACACTAGAATTAGAACTTTCTATATCGATATTGATATTATTTTTATGGCCCACAGGCATAGTTCGCGCATGTTTCTCAATATCTGGAGGATCTTTGTTCATGGAATCAGTTAAATCCCCAGGAAGTGGATCTGTAGAAAACGTTGATGTCATCAATTCTTCGTTCACAGGCCAAACTTTCCTTTCAACGACTTGAAGCTCTTCTTCCACCGAATCTTGACTCGACGAGGTAGTTAAACATATCTTTGGTAAAATTGGTGGACTATTTCGAACCTCTTCTGGCAGAATACTATG